GGGGGGGGGGTCCTCCTTCATGCTTTAGACTATGGTCTCTGCTTACATAACAATGTGACCCTGATCTACTCTGTACACTCGAAGCACAGAGATAGCGGGTTGGTTTGTATGTGTGTAGTTCATCGTCCAGTGCAACAGGAGCCATGAAGGGCTCCATGTTGATTAATATACCATTTCTGCTCTGATTTGTTCTGTATTGATCTTCTGGGCACTGGTGTGAACTAACTCTTAACTAATACAAATGAGCCTGTAATGTGCAAACAGCTGATAGGATCATTTATCAGCACAGTAAGAAAGCATGCTCTCTCTCGCTCTCTCTCTCTCTCTCTCTCTACATTCTCCCTCTCTTCCTGTAGCCTGGTAGTGGACAGTTTGTGTCTGTGTAGCGTAAGGAGAGGATATGTGCTTTGTAAATAGATCCCAGGTTAGATTCCTGGCATTCCAGCAACCTGACTCATCCGATAGATGACTAAGAAATCCCTCAGCCAGCTGAAGCTAAACACTGACTGCACCATAACCAACAACGCAGGAGTGCATCTTGGTGTGTGTGTGTGTGTGTGTGTGTGTGAGTGTGTGTGTGTGTGTGTGTCCTCAGGAAATGTAAGCCTTTTGTTTATTGTGAGTGGAGTAAAAGCACTAACAGAGGAGCTCTCAGTAAGGGTGATTTTTTTTTTCCACTCCCCAACCCAACCGGTCGGCCAGGCAGCAGCTCTGATGCTTCACCACCCCCAAATCCCATTCCAGGCAGCCCCTTCCCCCACATGTACTTTCATCTAATTAACGTCTAATTACTCATACTGACCAGTGGACCACAAGTCGGACCATCCTCCACTGATGGACAGAAAACACCCATAACTTGACATCATTGTGTTTTCAGCAAAAAAACAATGTAGTCATGCAATACAATCCACCAGATTCTTTTTTTGTATATTCCATTCTGGTAACACTGATGATGAAGGAAAGGCTCTAGTGCTGAAACTGGTTTTAGTGGAAGCTGGGGGGGGTCACATTTAGTCCATTTCTTTACTGGATCGAACTGGCTGCTGTTTAGAGGCACCCCACTCCCTGCTTTACACACCCACACCCACATATGAACTGCGTATCTTGCTGTATGGTCACCCTCGTTGCCATGTAGTATCTATTTCTGTCTTGAAATGGACAGGAGAGTAAAAGGAGCTGTGTATATCGCAGCACTGTAATTATACGTCACCTCCTGCTCTGGTCAGATTGCAGGAGGCAGTGCTGTTTCTTTTGGTTCAGGGAGATGAGAATAGCTTATATGCACCTCTTCAAATATGTAACCACATCTATGTAACTTAAAACGTTTCCTTCCCTTCCATCTCCTGCTCTTATGTAACCTTGCTCTTTTCAAAAATGTTATATAAACTGTCTATGGTGAAGCCATTTGCAGTTCAAACCTTCCCTTCACCACAATTGTTACTGGTTAGTTTGAAGAAACAAATGTGAAATAAACATGACATCACTTGCTTGCGAGAACTGTAAATAAATACATTCTTAAAACCACAGGTTCTGAAGGTAACAGTCTGCAAATTGTTCCTGGAACAACCTCTTGATTAAGATACCAACACGAATATCAGATCTGATTTATGCAGAAGTGCTGGAGGGAGGAGTGATAAAAAGTGAGTCAAGCTGGACCCCAGACAGAATAAACAAACTCTCATGTAAGCAAATGGGTATTAAATGTAAAGTGATGGGAAGGTTGGAGTGGTGGTGGTGGATGTCCGAGAAGGGTGATTATTGTGTATGACTGGAGAATGTGAGGAATGTGACTTTAAATTACTTTCTTGCTTGTCTGGACTGCAAGGAAAGCTCTGTGTGTGAACGTTCTGCAAATATATGTTGCACTGCATCACAGATGCATTTGACAAAAGCTGTGTCTTTAGAGGTGACATCATTCTTGAGTCTAAAACAGGGTTATAAAGGATTTCAACAGACATCTGTAGGAACAGTGTTGCAACAACACAGCATATGTAATATGTTTGTGCTCCACTGCTGATTTCCATGGTGTCCAGTAGCCAAACTGCTGGAGGACGGAACCGAAAACACTGGTTTACTGCTCGGCAGTTTGATAATCACAATGATTAAGGAAAACTGTCATAGTTGCAAGCCGGCTTAGTGCTCATCTTTGTCACTTGGTAAGCTAAGCACGGCCAAGAATGGAGGGGTGTTTTCAAGCCCCAAGCCAACATGAGATGCTAGATTAGGGTTAGGGGCTCCCTCGGTCATCCCTCCTAATACCCAAAGCCTGCTCCCTAATATCCTCACTTCAACACAGATGTCTGATGCTGCAGTGCTCGGGAACCATAAGAGGTTTTAATCAATCCCAGAAATCCCAGAAATTGACATTTCCTGGAAAATAGCACAATGGAATCTTAAATTTAATGCTTTAAAATTGCTTTATTGTGGAGCAGCCTCAGTAATATCAGAAATCAGGTGAAAACACAACAGAACAAGATGTCAGATCTTGAAGAGAGCAATGATGTTAGAAACCATAGTTTTCTCCCTTAAAGTCTTAAAGTTTATTATTTTGAGTAATAAGTATCAAGTAGATGTATTTACTATTTTTAGAGGGGAGTTTAAATGTTGTTTTTGGCTTTCAAAAAAGAGAAAAAAGTGATTGTCTGACACAAACAAGTCACTATGCCTCTAAATGAGAGATGTTCCTAAACCATTTTTACTTACAGATACTGATTCTGAGACTTTGTGATACAGAGTTGAAAAGTGACAACTTGTCAGGTGGATTAAGTGACTCGATCCTAGAAAATAAATCACAAAAATGCCAATACCAAAATCAGCCGGATATTAATTCCGTAAGCATTGACAGAGATGTTCCAATACCATTTTCCCTCCCCAATTAAGACGTTGCGTATTGGCCGATATCGAGTACTGATCTGATACCAGTGTATTTTAAAAAACAACAACTTATATAACATATTTTAACAGCTCCTCTCACTGTTGTATGACCTGGTTAAGGTAAAACCCTCTGACAAACCAATACATATAAAGAGTGAAAACTTATTTGCCGCTCTAAAAACTACTTATCTGTGGCAGTACTACACAACTGCTGTTTTGGAGTAGCGATGAAAAAGTGATTGCAGTTTTTTTTCTGGGTGAAAATTTACTTTTAAGATGTGGCTCAGTACATAGATTTGTGTACTCGCTGATGCCCAACCTGGCATTTTTGTCAGTATCAGAAATGCTGGTATTGGAACAATTTTAGCCATATATTTGCAATGGTTTGATTTTTTAAATATTATCATTACAATAATCAAGAAAGATTTATTTTAAATGAAGTTGTTAAATCATCTCGGAATAAAGGCTCCATCTATGTTACTGGCTTACTGGAGGGATAAGAAGTAAGAATGGCCAGTGATGCTTCTTTAATTCTTGTCGGATTGTCACCAAGCACTGACACTCCCATAAGTCCCGTGTGCTCTAATCCTTCATTAGTCTGGTTTTCTCAGACTGGTACTTAAGCCATCCAGACCCTCCACTTCACTCCCTCGTCATCTGATCTCAGAGTGATCCTAGTCAGGGTTTTTTTTTACACATTCCTGCACTGAGTTTTGATGAGGATTCAAGATGCATTAGATTCCTGCGCTCAGATATGTCTTGGATAGATTTGAGACCATCTGGGGTGTGAGGAGTAGATTAAAAGTAAAGCGGCAAGTGATTGGCTCTTGCCCGCAATCAACATGACCAGTGAGTATCACTCTGATGACCCTGAGTGTGCGTCTGTGTGCGTGTGTACGACACCCAGATTTCAATGGATGTGCAAACACGGCCACAAGGCTGGAGAATTGTTTAATAATGATTAATGTTCAGATCTTTTAGTTTAGTTATTGCAGCCAACCAGTGGGCGACAGTCTTGTTTATCATGCTGGTAGAGAAATATGATTGTATGTTTGTTTAAATGCATTTGATATAATTTCTATTGATCTGAAATCTTTGTAGAACTGTTGAGGCAGAAAAAAAGCAACAATTTCAAATTTCTAAAAGTAATTTGAGTACCATTTGTAAATCAAGGATATCAAAGGGTGATTTACTGCACTTGAAATTATGCTCACAGATACACTATGTTGGCAGAGAAGCAGATCTTCATTCATTAACAGTGGTACCTACTTTGTAGTCATAATACCTGAAGTTGAACCTAACATTTTTAAAAAGGTATAATGAAGACAGGCTAAGAAAAGGACCATTTATCTACTATTTGCCCAGTTAGATAAGGGTATAGTATGTTTAATGACAGATCACACATTTGTCCCAGAGGGCTCTTACAATCTGTTCCAAAATACAACATCATATTTAGAGCCTCAATTCAGGGACAGGGACACATCATTCAGTTTAACACAACTTCTGTTTTAATTCACCAGATGGTCAACACCAAACCTAAAACATTATCCAGGTCCAATTGTATAATATATATGTACGTTGAAAAAAAACCTGTTTGACAAAAAAGATGCAGCTGGACCCCTCTTTCTTTCATTTTTACCATCCATGTTTTCACAGTTTTAGCAGAAAATTGCTTAAGTGATATCCATACATCAATTCTGCATCATAGTGTACCTGTGAGAATATCCATTGCAACCAGTTTACCCCAAATCATTTGAATGTCTGCATTTAGTAGGATAAAACAAAAATCACACTTCAGTCATGAATTTATAATTTTACGTTTCTTCCTTTGGTTTCATGTCTGTCTTAAACATGGACAGACTGGTTGACAAGGGGTCGCTGGGCACTGTACTGGGTTGGCTGTATCCAGAGGACAGGCTGGTTTGGGGGTAGCACCCAGGAGGGTAGTTGTAGACAGGAGTGCTGGCGCTGTAGCTGGGCACTAGAGTGGGTGTGGACTGCAGAGAGTGTAGGATGGCAGGGGGAAGTGCTGCACTGGGCTGAGGGCAGTATCCTGAGGACAAGTAGGTGCTGTTGTAGGCAGGAGGGTATTCTGAGATGACGGGGCATTGCAGGAGCTAGTGCCACTGTACATCCAGTTGGACCTGAGTTTTTTGGGGCTCTGACATTGACATGAATGACTGAACCATTCAAACTTTCAGTGAGAAATGAGCAGACACTGTGTTAATGCACCCATCAACACCCTCCTGTCAGGGTTCCATAAGTTACTGTAGATATCATTTTGTAATCTAATATGATGTACGGAGTGTGGTGGGAATATACCATAAGCCCCATCACCATGTCTGTGCTATTCATTTCTTTTCTCTTGAGGGTTGGGCACCTTGTTCGGGTAGAATTCCCTGGAGCGCAGGGATTTCTCTGATCCTGGGTGGAGCCTGTGGCGGTCACGAGCTCTGCTATCCCTGGATTGGATGAGTGGGATTATTGGGCTGAAGGATCATTTAATTTAGGGATCAACATGTGGACCATTTAGAGGCCCATCTGGTGGTCCTAGTGGACATGTGACCTGATAATAATCCACATATAGACAGTTTCAGAGCAGACGTGTAAGTGATTAAGTGTGCATATGTGGGATAATGGAATAAATCCCAACACCTACCACTGCTGCTATTGGATTGCTGTTCTACCTGGACAGATAAATACAACCATTGTGATTAGGTTCTTGAATAGAGTTGAGTTAGTAACTGTAAAGTGGATAAAACAAGACTCTTTGGTCTCCAGGAATAAGTTACTGAGCGTATACCACTGTTCTGTCAATTAATAATCAATAAACCAATTGCTGGTGAATTAATTCACAAAAACTACGACCAATTTCCACAAAAATTGGTGGAAGGATGTGGTATGGGTCAGGAATCCATTACATTTTGTTGCGGATCCAGGAATTATTTTCACTTCTCTTAACAATGTGAGATAGTGTGTTTTTCAACATTTTCATTGATTTCTCAGAGAACAATTCATGATTTTTTATTTGATGAAGAAAAAAAAAACAGGAGTCTTTAGTAGACTGATTTTTATGAATGTGGACAATTTGGTGAAGATTCCCAAAAAATCTGGATATGTTGAATTTATGGTGTGGTGTGGTTTCATCAGGGGACTGTTGGGCCTTAATGGAAGTTTGTGCTCTACTGAGAGTCATTCTAGTTGATAATGAAAAAAAAAATGTTGTTTGAATCGTACCTGAACTCATAAAGAAATCACATTTTTGTCATGATCTTGAATTGAACATAATTTTATCTGTTTAAAATAAGGTGAAAAACATTCCTCTAAAATATTATTTCCAAAACAAAAAGGGTTGAATTAACATATTTTATTTAAGTAATCATGAAGTTCTCTCACTTTTACACAATAGAGGTCAGTGTGTCTGTAACAGAGGGATCATTTACCCAGCAACTGCTGTGTACTGTGAGAATAAAACATGGAGCATGTCTTACTATATACTACCATAGGAATTATTTGTCCACCATTTCTGGTGAAATCAAGGCCATGGCTTCTTCCTTTGGCTCAGGCCTGGGCTCAAGACAGTTTAATAATACTCTGCAATGCGTGGAATGTCAGCCTAATGCCAGTTCAAAAAGACAAGCCCACTACCACTAAACCAGTGGATTACCCTGTGTGTGTAAATGTGCCTGTAGAATCACACATGGCACTTGAGAATTAGACCCTTTTTTTTTGATCGGTTCACTTGTAATAGTGTTTCTGCGTCAGTCCAGAGTCTGTGAGATATTTTCAAACAAATACTCTGCCCCCCTAACCCTCTACACAGCGGCCCTTCCCTCCGTTACCCCTGTCCAGCAGACCCCTGAGGATTCGGCCGAATTAGATCACACGCTCGGTGGGGGTGGCTTTGTGGACTAAGAGTCTCATAGAGAAACAACAATGGCCCCAATGTGAGCGAGGCAAAGGCAGAGGGCAGTGCGCTGGCTGATAGAGGCTTATCGCCGTGGAGACCAGGCTAGGGGCTATGTTGGCGGCTTCATATAAAGATTAGAGCAGTTGCTCCCCGCCTGGATGAGACTGTGGGGAAGAGCACTGGTTAAGCGATGACATGATTCTGGGAGAGAGTCAGTTTGTTAGGGTGATTATGAGGGCAAATATTCATGAAGGCTGACTTTCAGCTTGGTTGAGTTTTAGAAGCAGCAAAATACTGTAACTTGACAAGACAAAATGTTGCAAACATGTCATTTAAAACATTTCATACATCTTTGGTTATCTCCTTAGGTCTGTTGAAGATGCACTGGTCTCCGGAGCACGCTGCCCCCTTATCTCAGTGGCCTGAGCAGCACCTTGATGTCACCTCCACCACCTCGCCCCCGTCTGCCCACAAACACGATCCCTACGCTACAGCGGCTCGCCGTGGCTACGGCCCCACAGGTTACCCTTGGGCCAGTGATGACATATCAGCCCTAACTGCTTCTTCTCTGCTGAAGCGCTATGCAGAGAAATACTCTGGCCTGGAGCTGTCCTACGACCGCCCCCCTCCTGGGCCCTACTCAGAGCCTGGACCCTTCCTGAAAACTGAACCTGAGGCCTGGGCTCTGGGTCAGAGCATGGAGTGTTACCCTGGACTAGAGGCACTAACTGGCACCAAGGTGGGTTCTGCCTCTGTGGGCATCCCAGCCACAGGAAGTGTAACAATCGTGAGCAGCAACTTGGCATCTGAGCCAAGTTACAGTGGCACTAGCTCCTGCAATGCCCCGTCATCTCAAGAATACCCTCCTGCCTACAACAGCACCTACCTGTCCTCAGGATACTGCCCTCCGCCCAGTGCAGCACTTCCCCCTGCCACGCTACACTCTCTGCAGTCCACACCCACTCTAGTGCCCAGCTACAGCGCCAGCACTCCTGTCTACAACTACCCTCCTGGGTGCTACCCCCAAACCAGCCTGTCCTCTGGATACAGCCACCCCAGTGCCTCCTACTTGCCCTCTGGGATAAGTGCCCCGACTCCTCTGGCCCCTCGGCCCACCATGTTGGGGGGGAGTTACAGCTACGCGTCTCACAGCCTTGGAGGAAGCTCCGAGGCAGGAGCCCCACTGAAACGCAAGGCTTTTGAGATGGAGGAAGGACAGGAGGGAGCAGAGGTGGAGGGATCACGCTACAGAAAGTACAGCAACGGAAACAGTCACAGCAAAGGCCACGGTAACGGCTACGATATGAGCGGCCCCGCCTCAGATCCACAGGCCTACAAACCCGGAAAGCCTCTGATGTCGCCACCGTATGGCGGGGCAGGGGACTACAGCCCACCGTCGGGCCTCGCAGGAGAGAGTGTATCAGCGGAGCACAACTTTCCTCAGCAGCAGCAGCAGAGAATGTCTATGAAGATACCTGCCCCACACACTCGATCTGAGGATCCAGTTGGAGGCCGCTGACACACTCTGCCGCTATTGGAGAGGATTCCCTCGCTCTTATAAAGCAACCAGAGTTATTAATAAAGGCATATCTGGGGGAATGGCATTAATTAGATTTATCAACGAAAGGTTTCATTTCACTACAAACACAAGATGGCACAAGACATCAGGTATTTCCTGTGCGTCTTTTTTTTTTTTTTTCATCACTCATGTTTTTTCCAAAGATTCACAGGGGCCTTTAGCCCCTGTAAGGTTGAGGTAAGTCTTAGGGGTGAGGTCGAGGCATTCGCTATATGGATATTATTAAGACAGTCTATATGTGTGAGTGTCTGTTTCTCTCAGGATCCTATTTATTTCCTTTCTGCTACTGTGGCAACATCACTGCAATGTTGCAGATTTTGAAGTCAGTGTAATTATTTGTGGCCGTTATGTGTGTGTGACAGCCTTTGACTGCAATATGTTCTACCACAGCACAGAAAGAAAAATCATTTCTGACCAAAAAAAGGAGAGCAATAACTGAAATGGTTAGATTGCCAAATGTCTTCAGCACAATCACTGCTACTTTACACAGCTCACTACACGGCCTGTGCCACTCGAGAAATGAATGTTTCCCTGCTTTTTCCCGTTCACATATTCTTAAACTTTATTTTTCAGTTTCCTTCACTTCTTTCTTCTCTGTTTTGCTGCCTCCTGCTCACAATCTCTTTCACTGCTCAACAACTTTTGTCTTTGTCCAGTTTAAGCATGCCCAGCTGCTCATCAAACCATCACATGATAGCATACATGAAGACGCCCTTAAACATGTTTTCACCCAAGGAAAGAATGGAGAAATAATCTAAATATAAATGTTAATCTTAAAATGTTTTGGTTTTTTTGCACTCACACAATGACATCATACGGATTTATGCAGATCATGTGTTGTTTACGTGCAGATTTCTAAAACCAACGGTTGTGTCTCAATGATAATACCTGTTCCAGTTTATGCATCAACTTAACCAAAAAACCAACTAGACAGGCACTCAGTAGAGCATCCTACACACGATTGTCTAGTTCCTATAGTAGAAATATAAAAAGAAAGAAGGAGGTCAGATAACCTTAATATCATAATTATAGTGAAAATGAAAAATGTATTTAAAGCTTGGTGTTGGTAATCCTGGAAAAGGTAGCAGGAGACTTTACATATGGATGGCTATGGGGGCATAAAGTGGATTTCAACAAAAAAAGATTTAAATTGTTTGAGGAACAAATCACCAACTCTACCTTTAAACCACATCTGCACCGAACCCATTGATTTAGTACACACAGGAAAATTGTGATCTTGGTGGAGGTATTACCACGCTTAAGTCTGCTTTCTGCTGAAATTCACTTTGAAGGTGTACGAGCCTGTTTGATGCAGATTTCTGTAAATGTGTCTGGGTGAGAACATCCAACAACTTTCTTTGTGAAGATCAACCAGCTTGTCCTCTTGGATTTGCTTCTTCTTTTTGTTTCTAAATATGCATTCTCTTTACCTTTGCCTCTGAAAGGATGATTTATAGTTGTGTTATTGAATACTCAGGAAGAATATTGTTACCTCAGAATGATAAAATAAGAATGTATGTTATTACCTTTGGGTGTTTGTAAGGAGCTTTATGGAGCAAGATGAAAATGGAGCCATGGCTTTGTCAAAGAGAAAAAGATACTCTGAACACTTCAGGGAAATAATGAACTTACAAGGCCTTTGATACAAACAGTAGACTATACACACACACACACACATGCACGCACACACACACATGCACACACACATGCACGCACACACACGCTGCTTCGTAGCTCTGGGGGAATTAAACTCGAGGTTTTTGTACCAAGGCCTGAAATGTTGAATGTAATTCAGATATAATGTACATCGATTTATGTTTTTAGATATATGAAACATATTTTCTTCTTGTATAGATGTAATTCTCTTCTAGGTTTTTGATGGAGCAATGAATAACATGTTAAGTGTTAGTGTAGTTAGCAGTGGGGAAATGGTTTTGTGGACAAAAAAAAAAAGTCAAATCAAAGCACTCCTGATAGACGACATTCAACATATCAAGACACACGCTCGTCAGTATGTAACATGCTCTATAACAGGTATCTTCAATTATTGTCTTAATACAGTGTCCAGCTTCAATTGCCCATGTCAGTATTGTTTCAATCAGCGTGAATTTAGCTTTAATGTGAATTAACACCATGAAGAAAGTAGAAGTTAATTGTGACGGATGTGCACTGTCAGAAAAAAAGTAGTCACAACTTAAAATCCTTTCTTTGAGTCTGTGCTGTTTGATCCCATCATGACTTGTGCCATACCGTTGTATTTTGTTAAGAGAAGCCCCTTGGAGGCTTAAACAAAACCAAAATCCTGCCTAAATGCATGACTCCCCTTTTAATAGTAAGATTTTTTTAGCCTGAGATGCAACTTCAGATTTTAGTCTGAAAACCAGTGTGGTGAAAAAAGTACTTTAATGCCTCTTTTTGGAAATATAAGCACGTTCATTAACGAAATTTAAACTTAATCAGAGGGTTAAACTGAATTTGCTTCAAATTATGCCGAGGAAGAAAAATGACAGATGAATAATAATGTTAAGCATATAATATTGTATTCTTAACCCCAGATTTTGAAATTGTTTAAGCGCTTAGCTTCAACAATTGAATGCTCTTCAATACCACACAGAGAATGTGCTCTACATTAACCCACGCGCTGCGACAGACGACTGATTATTCGCTGTTTATTCATGGAAGTATGTGGAGTTGAGTTTGTCCACAAGATCAAGAAATGGGATTTCAGTGTTATGACGTTTGTGATTCAGTTGTTCTTTTGTTGTATCTTGTACATTTTCTGTAACCACTTCTACCTCATTCTGAAGACGAACATTGAAATATTTATTTCATGTCATTTCACTAACCAGTTTTAAGGAGCAATGTTTCGAATTCTTGACCTGTTCTAGTCTACCTCACTAAAGACTGTTGTGTCATGGAAATGAAGATATACCAAAAAATCTGACTTTGTCTTTTTGTTTGTGAAATCTTTGGGTGTTTTAACACTTAAACACACTCTAGTATAACGAGACCCTGATGTTTGTTGCGCTGCTGTCATTTCCTCATAAACACGCTCACCAGGTCCAGCTCCATTCTGCAGCGTGACAGTGACATACATGTATTTCTCTTGGGGAAGCAGTTATATGATTGTCCCCTCTGAGAAAATATACTTCTTCTCTCCAATTCACCTGATATCACAACATCATCATTACATTACAGGAACAAAACACTTAAAATCTCCCGCAAACATTTGTTTGTACTCTGCTCCTCTGTTTACAATCCTGAGGTATGATTTTTATGGCAAGCTTTAAAAAAGGCGTTATCTTTTCAGAGGCTACTCTTCCAATTAATTAAAGTTACCTAGCTTATGTGTAGAGTTGAATTATTTTTATAAACATATATCATTTAAATGTGAATAATTACTCTGGAAATCAACCACTGCCTTTAAACTCATCCAAGTAAGCAGTCGCTTTATGCCCTGTTATGATGCTCTGCTAGAAATGATGTAGAAACCAGAAAAGCACTCAGTATCGTATACATACCTCTGCGAGTCCATATATGAAACCACATTTAAACTCGCTGCACCAAACACACACTCATAATTATCAGTACCCTAAGCATGCCTGACTTTTCGCCATCAAGATACATAAATTATTCTCAGAGAAATCAAGAAAAATTGAACATAATTCTCTATCTTCTTATGAAAGATAGTGAAAAAGGATTTATGGGTTTTTTCCTGACCAATACTGCATCTCTCCATCTTTTGTGATAATCTGTCCAGTAGTCATTTCATAATCCAAGCAAACACATAAACACATGAAAACAACCTCCATTGCGGAGGAAATAACACACTGTGATAATTAGGTGTTCTATACAGCCAGTGATCTTGTGAAATTGTTCAGGAACCAGAGAGTTATTTATAACATGTTGGCTAAAGAACATAGAGAATAAAAGGTCTTGATGAGTGGAGAAGATCCTGACCCTCTTCCTCTGGACGCCCTTGTCCTCATTGTCTGGAGGGCGGAGTGCGTGTGCTGGCATGTGACACATGTCTGAAACTGAAGTGTTTTCAGTCACAGTGACTCTCACCCCTCAGCAACATGCAACAAAACCCACTTTTACATAAAACTTATCTTTATCTTTTCAGGTGTTCTGCACACACCTCAAATAATATGGCATCAAACATCAGACCAGCCAGCCTCATCAAGTTCAAGTCATGTCACTAATCTCAAATAATTGTATCAAGTACAGACCATAAACAAAACCAATTTAGGTATTTTATTAACCTTATATATCGTTTTACTCCTGAAATTCCTTTGTCAAAATGCTGCGTCTTTACCCCTTTAAAAATCTTAACCAGCTCAAGCAGCAGCTGCAGCAGCGTCACATAACGAATGTAACAGTGACACCTATAGGCTTGTTTCAAGAAGTACATTATTATATGAAATAACTGAGAATAATTTATAAAAATCAGTGTCACGTAGTTATTTACACAATATAAATAAAGTACTAAGATGAATACATATGTGAAAATCATGGGGCTTCTGATGGAGTATAAATTCATTGGATATCATTTTCAACACGTGGTTATGACAAATTACAGGAAAGAAAGATTTCGATATATCCTGCAGTTTTTACCCTTAACCTTCAGTTTTAGTCTCGTTATTTCTAGGCTGAAAAAGAAACATAATGCTGTTGGCTCATTCACAGGTTCTTGTCCAGTGGTGGTGAAGTTGTACTGATGAGAGATGTATTCTGCAGAGTGTCTCCTTCAGACTGATGTGGACTGCAAAGTCTATAAAATGACCATTTGTTTCCATGTGATCTTGAGTCAAAGATGGATAAACTTACTGTGGGCTGCAGATTTTTGGGGGAGGAAGGAAAATGTGAATATAGCATTGATGTGTTTTAATTAAACATTGTATGAAACTAGGCATCTTACACATTCCCCTAAAAACGAAGGTACATGGAATAACACATTGTAAAAATCAGTATGCAACTAATAATTCTGATTCTGCACAATAACTAATAATTCACTTGGTCTAAAATGTCAAAAACAGTAAAACTCAGTTGGGCTCTAGGAATAGTTTATTTTTAAATGTTTATTTTTGCAGCCAGCAGCAACCAGCAGTCCAAAATCCCCAAATTTCAAATTTACTATACATAAAATACACCAGTTAAGAGGCTGGAAACAATTAATTTAGTCTATTTTTTTTGGTTAAAAGGAAGATCGTTGCAATTCATTATTAGCACAGTTACCAATATTCTTTTTCTCTCAATTTGTTTAATTGATGCAAAAACAAAAACCAATAAAAGTGTGAAATATTACAATGCAAACAGTAAGCCCCTGTCAGACTATGTTTTTATTTTTCACATGTACTTGCTTAATAACTCATATTACCTTCTCTTTCATAATTGACCTTGACTGTACATAAGGATGTACGTTCAAAGGTTGACACTAGATGTCTCTCATCAAATTAATTTGCTATAAGTGGAGTTTCCCAACTCATCTTAAATCTAGGTCCAATAATTGGTGACATCAAGTAGTTTGGAAAACAACACTGCCCCAAAAGGCAACTGACTGGACGCCTGCAGTGCACCTGCAGGTTATTCAGGGATGTTGGAGACATCTTGTGTTCAGTAGTCGAGAAATATTTGCACATTCATGGTTTCTGTGTTGTACATGTCATTTAAGTTTTTCTAACCAGAAGAAACTATTCCAAACATACCTGAAGAGGACGTTTTAGTAAAGCTGAATAAAATCTTTGTTCGTTTTCTTGCCCAATCGTTGGTCCGTGTGTCCATGTTGAGGTACTTTGCATGCTAAAAAGAATTTTTAAAGGAGGGATGCTGTCGATTCATGTAAGCTTCATTTTTTGAGAAATCCTGCATCTTGTCAATAGTAATCCACATGAAAACAGTGGTGAAGTTCCACTAGTTGAACGTGTAAAATGTTCCACTTATAAATAAAAACAATGGGTTGTCAGTGAATCCACAGCAAACGTGTGGGATCACTCCAGTCTCCTGCTGCTGGCTTGAGAGGGTAACTGCAACCAGAGGATTAACAAAAACAACCCATACTTCTTTATTTCAAAAGAGTGGACTACCCCTTTAATCTATGGAAGTCGCAGGGTTGTGTTGTTTCCTTCAGGTCCAGTAGAGGGTGTCAGATAGCTATAAGAGGAATTGAGGAACTCCACTGTTGGTTACAGCCCACAAACAGCGTTGCTATCTGCAGACAGTCTCAGAGACAGAGGTGAACTGAACCCAGCAGAGCTGAGGGGTAATGATCATCATGCAGAGGAAGCAGAGCCAGGTAGAGAAAATGGCACAAAGAGATGAATCAGTCCCATCTTTTATTGCATTTTAGCTAAATTGAATGTATGTGGAGCAATTCCTCTTCAGCTATGTGATGAAACGTGAAAACGAGGGAAGACCCCATGCATCTCCTTATTGAAACTGAGACCATGTGTTCCCATTCACCTAAAGTGTGTAGATCACTGCACCCTTCACCCTCATGATGTCTCCTGCATGATGGAACACACTTGACCCAGAAAAGAAAACCACGACCTCACCCGGATACATGATCGCAGCAGTATTGCAGATTACATGTTATTGATTCCTTAAAGACATACAATCTCTCCCCCATATCCTTTACACACACACACACACACACACACACACACACCACACACACACACA